CCCCCCCCCCTCCCCCCCCCTTCCCGTTGGAGCAATTACGCGTCCAATGTTTTCCAAATAGATTCTGAAGACGAGGAGAATCTTCCTCCACTTCCTGAAGCCTTGGTGTCCTTAAGCGATGCAGCCTCAGGGGCAAGCAATCCTACCACTTATCGGCGTGCACAGTTTGAGCGTCCAGCCTGTCTATACCCGTTACTATAGACCATAGCTGATCCTTTCCAAGTACCTTGCAGTGAAGCGCCGCAAAGAGAAAGTACAGCCACGACCATTTGCAGAGCAGAAGACATGTACTTCATAATTCGCTGGGGCGTGCAACTTGCAATGCTTGTATTGCCGTTGAATTGACCATATTCCTAGCAACCTCACTATCTGAATTGACGTGTGTGAAAGTGACAGTGGTTGTGGCGACAGGGCGGCGGCAGCGGTTGTGGTGGTGGCGGCGGGGCAGCATCAATGGAGAAGGTACAGCGATAGCAGAAAGAAGCACCAGTGTTTCCTGTGCAGCAATTTTCTGAGGCTGTCCAGCGTCTGGTGCTGGATGAAGGCGACCGTCTTATCGAGGAAGGCTTTGAAGAGGCTCCTGTCTTGTGAGGACTTCTGAGTATGATGTTCATTATCAGGGCTTCAGATTTTTGAGATAAGATGTCCGCTGCTGGTTGGGTTGCGTAGGGTGAGGTGCTGCACAGGGGTCCAGGGAGCTTAGGTAATTCGTACCTTCATATTTGCAGTATGCAGTTTAGGGTCAAACGTCGGGGGCTGGACGTCATTTGTGTGGATTTCTGGTGCTTTGCTCCCAAGAAGTGCACCCAAGACAGGAAGGCATCAGCGTGATGCAAGGCCGAAGACATACACTAACTACTAACCGATTCGCGTATGCAGCTTCAGATGGTTTTGCGTTTGGGCGTTCGGGCATGAAGGCTGTTTGTGCTCAAACTTCGGGTTGTAGGAGGGGATGCTTTCGAGATAGGACCTCTATCCGACAAGCGTTGTTGATGCCGGTGGACTGGTGGACTTCTGCGCTATTTTAAGCTCGGAAATTATCAAAGAGCTGCGGGGTCGGCCGCTTACGAAGAAGTAGAGGCGCAAAAAAAATATGTCCCTGCCACGTATACCTAAAACCTTTCGTAGGCTGTTGAAACCATGCGTGGCTGACTAGTTTTATCAGCCCATATACGGAACTCTCCTACCGCATACGTGCATACGTCACACCACAAAGGTGAAGCAGCCAAGAGTCCTCGCAGTGCTTTAATGTCCATGACTCTGTAGGCCTCCACATGCATTGTCCCCATAGACTTAGTTGGGGGTCCTGCTGGAAATATTTGGCGACAAAATGAGAGATAGGTCCTATGCATGCAGTCATGAACTATCCTGTGCTTGTATTTGGCTCAGCCTAGCATTCTTGTGCAAAGCCTTACGCCGTGCTAAGCAAAGCTTCCTGCGCAGCAGCCGCGGCCTCAGAAGAAAGCGGGTTGAGGATTGCGTCATTTTAGTGTCAGAGCTTTCACGTTCAAGAGGGCAAGTGTCCAAATGAGAATCATGTTCAGAGATCATGAATACTGGTGTCAAGAAAAGGTTTCCTTAAAGCGAGGCCCCCACATTTTCGAAGCCGTCATGTGCAGGGAATGATTCCTATAGTTATTTCAAGACTGCTTGCTGCTGGGGGGATCAGGTTCTCAGGGTCCAGCAGCTTAAAATTCAGCAGCCCTAAAGCCTGACGCTTTCATAGGTCACCTCAAGGGTTGCTATGCGTAGAAACCTAAGTCCTGCGTCCCCGCACAAGTATCCCTATATCATGAGGGGTTGCTGCACGGAGGGGTTGTTTTCGGGGGTGGGCAGGTTTACCAGTAGGGGGAGGGCCAAACCCTAAACCCTAAACTCGACTAATCTTGAGCATAGATCAGCCAGCGCAGATTCTACTCCCTATCTTGCTGGCAGGATTGGCTATATAAAGGGGGCCTCCTAACATGTGCTGTGGTTTAAACTCCGTAAAAGAGATTATATAGGGGTATTCTATGGGGGAGTCTTATAGGGCTTCTGAAGGGGGATACTAGGAGTTCAGACTATATGGGCGCCCAGATGGAAAACGACCACAAATCACGTGCAGATGTTAGAAATGGTACAAGCTAGGCGGGAGAGTAACTACATCATCTCTTGCAGGTGTGCGCTGGGTCAGATTCACAGAGGTAAGCCTTGTATGCTGACAATCTTACATGGAGACTTGTGCGGATTTAATGTTTCATGTTGCTCCGGCTTGAGACTTGCTACACACGTCAAGCATACAAAACCAAACGTTGTAAAGATCTAAAACGCCGGAACAGCCAGGGGTGCCAACAAGGCCATAGAGCATGCATTTCTAGAGCAAACAATGCGAAACAAAGGAGAAGCAACAGGAAAAGGGATCCTCTCTCTTCTCCCTTTCCAAAGGAGGCCGCGGCTGTTGGCACTGGATATAACCCTAAGGGTCCAAGTACCCAATAATCATATACTTACCCAAAACCTGTACTATAATTACTATTCCCCAAACCCTGAGTACCAAATTATTGGGTACTTGGACCCTCTGGGTAACATGACCAGCCTTCGCAGCGCATCGTTGAGCTAGGGCGAGTCATAGGCTGAAGACACACGAGCTAAGATACTTGTCCGTCTGTACCAGGACCCTCCTTGTAGCCTGAATTGCAGATATATGGTCCCTACTAGTAGGTACTCGGGCCCCAATAGAGGGTAGGAGGATGGACTAGGTATATGGATGTACTATCAAAGAGATCATGGATCGAACATTGCGACCGATCCATCCGCTTCCCTCAGTATCAAGCGAGAATGACCCGCGACGGGGGCATCGAAACCCGGAGTTGTGGTTTGCCATGCAAGTGGCAAACCCTATACCGTGTTGCATATTACCTGGACCCCCAACAACAGCCACAATGGCAATTATTCTACATACATTTTTGGGGTGCAGGTTCAGGTGCAGGTAGGGCTTCTTGTGGCACTTGAAGGAAGAAGCTCCAAGAAACCTATGGGCCACTCTGCCGACCAACCACTCGCTGCCAAACGACTTGGGAATGCTCCACGCGGGTCAGGGTTTAGGGGCCCTAAGGGTCCAACTATTCAATAATCATATACTTCCCGAAAAGCCAGTTACTAGTAGCAAAATCCTAAGTATTTGATGATTGGATACATGGACCCCTGGGGATAGAGCCCCGAAATCGATATTGATATAGCAATAACAGAGTAATATCACCGTGATACTACAGTACTAGTATCATACTACTAGGGCAGAAAAAGCCCCCCCCCCCCCTATTTGCCCGCGCCAAATGCCCGCTCATCGGAATGTGCTATGTATAGCAGTGTTTTGGTGGTTGTGGATGTAGTCGAAGTGAACGTTATTATGGGTGCTGGCATGGGTTCACTTGTTTTGGATGCGGTCGTGGTGAACG